AAATGAAATTGACAAATCCAATTTTGACCGACCACATTTTCATCTTTCAGAAAAGAGTTTTCTGGTAGGGACTTTAGGAATTATGATCGAACCACGGAAATGGGTTTTCTACATATCTCATGCTATATGAGAATTCAGGCCACTTGTAGTTCGATACGCTTGATTTGACGCACGATTTGAAAGACTTCAAAAGTCATCCCGATACCGAATTATGAAGAGACCGAAATGCTCGAGAATAAGATTAAGAGCGAATGTTGGAATACATCCGAGTTTTCGACAATGATCCCGCCTACATATCCTCAACTCAGGGAATCAGGCTGCTTGTAGTTCAACTCAATCGGTTGAAAAGGAAATCTATTATGCTAGATCACCTTTGGTTTTAGAAAAGCGACAAAGTAAGTCGAGTATGAAAAGAAGGCTTGCAACCTCTTAACCATGAATGTGGTGCACTTCACACCCATAATTAAGAACTTACACGGACATAATTTCCAAAGCTCTTGGTGCATTGTCACTCGATTGGAAAGCCGCTTCCGGTAGAGACCAAAAATTTTCAGAAGCGAAACTGAAACCGACAAACCTAAGAAAAACCCACATGCCTTCTGATAGGGGTGTGGTTTGATTGTGGTGGAAGTCGCTCCTCTGCTCGCGTCCTAAGAGTTTGGCACTCCTCTTTGGACTATGTCCCAGTTCGCTGCTAAGAAAAGTTCCACGTTGTGCTGCATCCTTTTTGATGTCATCCGCACCTGTGGTTTGTTTTGGAGAATTCATCCTTTCGGATGCTCTCGACAAAGACTGAGATAAATTCATTAGCATAAAAATGCAATTTAAATGGAGAGATAGTGTCTTTTACCATGTTGACACTTAATTGCTCTTCTTGAACATTTGGCATCAACTCCCTCGAGTTTGACGTAAAGCAAATAAAGCTTCTGTCTCATATTTGCGATATAATCTTCAATGTACTCTTCTTTTGACGTCAAAGTAATAAAACAGGCTGATGTAATATGTTGATAATTCTCTTGATGTCGTTGTTGCAAAGAAAATAATGTGGTCGATGTTGATCTTCTTGTGATGGGTAAATCTTTCTCTTGCAATGTATGACTCATTCTTTTGCAATGTGTGACTCTTTTCCTTTGCGATGCCTGGATCTTCTCTTGCAATGCATGAATCTCTTTTCTCGCGATGCATGAATCTTTTCCTCTTGCAATGCATGATTTTCCTTCTCTTGCAATGCA